GAGCAAGTGGAACCAGAACTACACAACATCAGTGTTGCCAGATTCAGTAAGTTATGCCTACAACTTAACTTCCAGTAAAGTTAATATATAGTTAATAAAGTTATCCCTATAAAAGAAATGAACTAAGTAGAAAAACAGTTGTGCTATAATTAAATTAGCTGACTTCCTTTGTACAGATGATACAAAACACAAAAATATGTAATTTAAGATGCAAAATTGCATGTTAGTATACTCTGTGAGCATCCCTTCTGCTGCTTCTTAAATATAATACTTAAGATTTGCCTTCAGTTTGTTATTGTGTGACTTCAGATTTGCCTTCAGTTTGTTATTGTGGGGCTTCAGAAGATTTGTCTTCAGTTTGTTATTGTGTGACTTCAGTTAAGTATGCAACAAGGCAATTAGGAAATGACAAATGATAAACATCTTCAAATTCTAAACTAGTTCAAGTTCCAAACAGAAAAGAGCTACATCTGAACAAACCCAAATATTTCAGTCCTTGAAAACATGAATGAAGTATAGCATGTAAGTCTTTCAGGCCAGGTCTCAGACATAAATATCAGAATCTGATTAACTAATTTTTTTTTTTTATGAAAGCAAGACTTGCCTGCTTGATTTTTTTTTTCAACTTTGGATACAACATGACACTGTGCCTGAAAAATAATTTCCTAACTGTATGTATGTAGTATAAAACTTACTGAACATATTATTTTTTGCTTATCCTGCCATGAAGGACATGAGGTTGCTGGTGGATGAGAGGCTGGACATGAGCTGGTAATGTGCAGTCACAGCCCAGAGAGCCACCTGTATCCTGGGCTGCATCACAAGCAGTGTGGGCAGCAGGTGAGGGAGGGGATTCTGCCCCTCTGCTCAGCTCTGGTGAGGCCCCACCTGCAGAGCTGCCTCTAGCTCTGGGGTCCCCAGCACAGGAAGGACATGGACCTGTTGGAGCGAGTCCAGAGGAGGGCTGTGAAGATGATCAGAGGGATGGAGCACCTCTGCTATGAGGAAAGGCTGAGACAGTCAGGATTGATCAGCCTGGAGAAGAGAAGGCTTTGGGGTGATTTTACTGTGGCCTTTCAGTACCTAAAAGAAAGGGTGTGTCCTACAAGAGAGCTGGAGAGAGACTTTTTACAAAAGCATGGAGTGACAGGGCAAGGGGGAATGGCTTCAGACTGAAAGAGAGTAGGTTTAGATTAGATATTAAGGTGAAATCCTTTACTGTGAGGGTGGTGAGGCCCTGGCACAGGTTGCCCAGAAAAGCTGTGGCTGCCCCATCCCCGGGAGTGTCCAAGGCCAGGCTGGATGGGGCTTGGAGCAACCTGGTCTAGTGGAAGGTGTCCCTGCCCATGGGAGGGGATTGGAATGAGATGAGCTTTAAGGTCCCTTCCAACCCAGGCCATCCTATGATCTACTATGCTCTTGTAAAAGTCTGTGTTCTCTGCACCTTAATAAATGTATCTCCATAAACCCTTGAGGGGTGTTGGATTCCTATGAAAACAGTGGGGCCAAACACTGCACTGGTACAGTGCCCAACCTGAGATCTGTTGTTACTGTGCAGCTTGAACTCTTAACACTCTTTAGCATTTGATCCTCAGGGCTCCTATCACTGTTCTCAATTACAACAGTTAATGATTAGCACTGCTGAAAATCCACCCCATGCTGTTTTCAAGTGCTCAGGAAATGAAAACTATAAGGACCACCCATGAAAAGTTTAGGTCAAGTGATTTGCCTTGTATCATACAAACTCAGTGATGAGAGCTGAAATAAATACAGTCATCCACAGAGGTTTCTCTCATTATGAATAAAACTCTCACAATCTTCATTCATGATCTCCTTAACTAGTCCACTTCTGGAGGAGGAAGAATCTGATTCAAAGCTTGTTCATCACACACTTTAATTCCCTATATGCTTTTGGCCTTTAGGAAAAAGTAAACCTAATCACTGAGTGCCATGGCTGTATACCCTCCCTCAAGTAAGCAGTTTACCTTCTGATTAGTTCTTTCAAACAACTTAATTTCTTAATATACCTATGCAAGACAGCTTCAAAATGCAGCAAATTCTATATTACTGTAGATTAACAGCAAGTAGGGATTTTTAGATTCATGATGGAGAGAGCTTTGCCTTGGTCTGTCAGTTTATGCAGGTCAGCTGTTAGCCGGGATGGAAGGACAGTCTGTGCCACTGGCTTTTAAAGTGTTGACAGCAGAGAAATGGTGAGACTGAATTTTTGTTGTCTATTACAAACCAAAAGAGTGTGAAATAATGTTTACAGAAACCTGTATTGCCTTCTTTTTTTCCTAGTCTTGAGTCCTATGGGAGATGATACGAAGGGAAAACATTCCCTAAAACAGCCAAACTTAAAAGCAGTACTTCTTGTAGATTACATGCAGTATAGTGAAAAACAGAAGTAACTGAAACAATGGCTTACATTTTTTTTCTGAAGAGACTAGTTTGCGATGTCAGTTCAGCTGACAAACAAAAACCTAACACAAAGCCATTAAGTCACTTCCATGTGTTCAAAATACCTTCTCCATTCCCCAAGTTACAAGTCTAGGGAGATAACTTCAGCTGAACTGTAATATACCAACATAACTTTGCCTGCTCACTCAGACCATTCCTCTCGGTGTTTGTTTTTATGGCCTTACTATAATTTAAAAGAACACTCACAGATGAGACTTCACAAGTGAAGGCAGGACACAAACCACACTTAGAGCAACCCAACACTTGATGTTGCGCATGAGCTCATTCAACTGTGTGAGCTCACTCAACTGTGCTGACAGGAACTCTATTTTGTCTTCTTCCCCACTAACTCTGGCCGCTCCTGACTTTGTGGTAGAGCCAAGCCAGCTTGATGACGAGCTCTGGTTGCCAGCTTTAACTGCTCGCCTGTGACCTGGCTCCCGGAGATCAGACAAGTGTCTGAGTGGGCAGGGCAGCGCATGCCTGGGATGTCCCTGTTTATGGCAGTATGATGGGCTGGGTGTCGCCTCCCTAAACTCAGCTCTGTCCTTGAGTCTCACCGCTAAACTCGGCTCTGACCTTTAATCTCACCCCTAAACTCAACTCCATCCTTTAGTCTCACCCCTAAGCTCAGCTCTGACCTTCAGTCTCACCCCTAAACTCGGTTCCGACCTCGGGCGCTCCCACGGGAGCGGCGGCAGCGCGGGCCGAGGGCGCCCCCTGGCGGCCCCGCCCCGGCACTGCCGTGCCCGTGCCCGTTCGCAGCGCAGCTCCCGCCGCTGCTCCACAGCGCTGCCTCCTGCCGTCACGGGCCGGGGGTAAAACACGGAATAGCGGCCCTGCTGCCGCTCCCCTTCTCTTTTCTACCCCCGCCGGACCGCACCGCCCGGCCCTGAGCCCGCAGCCGCGGCGCTGTCCTACCCTGGTGGGCAGAGGTGGGCGCTGCAGCCCCTGGGGATGGGGCTCCCCCCGCAGCGCCCGGCTGTAACAGAGGGAGAAGGGGGCTCCTGCCCGGCGCGGTCAGACGGTGACCGGCACCCGGGGAGATCCCCGCCGGTCCTGCTGCTCCGTGTGCGCGTGGCTGAGCGGTGCCTCTCCCCCGTCAGCTTTGCCTCGCACCCCTAAAATCCACAGCTTTTTGGAGCTCTGCTGCAACGTCCCCTTCTCCCGTATCCCCGTGGTCTCTTTATTCATGCCTGGGTTTCCCTTCCCCGCCGCCTAAGCTGTTTCTTGGCTTAAGGGGTCCTTCGTCCCCCCCTCAGTGCTCACTTCTTCATCTCCTTTATAACCTGCAACCCAATCCCTGACAGTGGATCTTCAATCCCATGAAATGGCCTCTCTGCATCCCGGAGCACAGGTCCACCGGGAAGACTCATGCCCACAGGTTTGCTCTGCTGTGTAGCTGGTCCGTGTCAGAGCCGGCACAGCACGTGGATGCAGGACGTGAACCTCAGTGCTACCTGCTCACAGCTCAAAAACTCTGGGGTCAGGGCTGCTTGCTTGTCTGAGGGGTGTTCCTGGCAATTGCGATGCTTTCTGCTTACTCCTTTGGGTGCAGAGCAATGGGTGTTACAGCACAACTCCTCCTGCAGTGTTCCACTGGTAAGACCTTAATTCAGCACGTTTCCTAGAGCTGTTCAATCAGTTGTGCCAAAGCTGTTAACAGTAGTGTGGAACAGGATCAGCTGGGGGCTTCTACCCAAATTGGCAGTTTCTATGTCACTGCAGGATGCCATCACCTCCCTGTAAATCAGCTTTCTCAGCTCCTTTGCAAGTGGCAAATCATAGGGGTCCCCTGAGATCCCAGGTAATGATAGATCAAGTCACTGATACAGAAAGGTCTGACTGCCCGTCGTCCACCCTGGCTCACCAGGGGCTGTGCTTCTGCCGCGACCTGGAGCGGAGGGTGGGGGGCACACAGCTGTGCTGTGCCACAGGGAGGGAGTGGGGAGATGGAAGGCATCAGCCCATCCGTCTGCAGGTGGCATCAGGTTTGATTTGGAGCCTCCTGTCAGTCCGCTGCTTTAGCAAAGTTTGGATGCGTTGGTTCTAAAGCATTTCTCTGGCTTAAGGCAAGAAACCACTTTTACTTCTGTCTTCAAAGCATGCCCTGTTGAATGTCAACTGTGGTGGCCCGGGATACGTCTGTCCCCGGCTTCCTCTGCAAGGAAGGGAAAAGTCCCCCTTTGACAGAGGAGCTCCCACAACCCCTCGCTCGAAAGCGCGGCGATGCACGAAGCTCTGCCTCCATCTGCATCTCCCGGGAGCTTTCCCCCGAGCCTCCGTCTGCCTGGACGTGGGCTGCCTGCAAACTCCTCTGCGCCGCGACGCGTGACGCCCCCCGGGCCCCTTCCCCCTCTCTCCTCTGGGCCGGCGGGGCCCGCCCTGACCCCAGCCCGGCCCCCCGCTCGGCTCCGCTCGCAGTCTGCCCGCCTCTGCCGGCCTGTGCGGACCTGCCGCGGCCGCCCCGCCGGGCCACGGGCACACCCAGGAGGGTGTGAGCTCAGCGGGAGCGGGGCGCTGCCACGCATGGGCCCCGGCAGAGCCCAGCCCCGCGCTCACCTGGCCCGCCGGAGGCCCAGCTGCGGGAGCCCGACGTCGGCGGGGAGCAGGTATTTCGCCCCGGGGTGGCAGCCCCGGCCATGGGGATGGATGATGCTGTCCCGCACTACTGCGGGAGAGCTGGCAGAGCGCCACGTGGGGTGATCGTCCTGCCCCTGCGTGAATCTGAGCGGGAGAAGGAAAGGGGCTGCCCGTGCTGTTCCCACACTGGAGAGCGGGAAGGGGGAGCCCAGGGCTGACTGCCCGTGCTTGAGGTTGGGAGTGGGGGCTGTGGGCCAGGCTGTGCTGCTCTTGCTGTTTTGGGGTCATCCTGTTCCTCATGCTGAGCCCATGCTCTGCCTTCCCTCCTGTGAGGAAAGGGAACAGCGAGGCTAGGCATCAGCTCCTGCTGACCTGCCTGGTGTCACGCAGCCTGGGCTGGCTCGGCTGCACCAGGGCAAGGGGATCTTGTCCTGCACATGGCCACCTGGTTGTCCTGTGTCAGCATCCCTGGGGCACTGAGGTCTTTGCAGGGCTGCAGGCACATGCTGCCGTGTCGATGACTGTAGCAATGAGTTTGTCACCCCTTCAAATCCCCCGTGCTTCCCACAGCCTGTGGGTGTGCTGTGGGTGTCATTTGGTGGGAGCTAAAGGAGGGGTCCTTCTGGCCCTGGGACCCCTAGCTCCCAATCTGCTGCTGTCCCATAGGAGCTGGAGCAGAAGCTGGGCAGGGTCTGCTGAGTGCCTAGCCCAGCTCTCTCTGGGACCTGTGCTCTGTACAGGGGTATCACACTATAACTACTGATGCCACTGCTGCAGTCCCACTTTGAGCTGTGAAACAGGGTGGCATTTTCCCTCCAAACAGCACCATTCGGGTGGATTTGAGGCCAGTCCTGTGCCACTGCTCTGCCAGGCTCCAGTCCTGGCAGTGACAGTCCCTTGGAGCAGCTGAGCCCTGAAATACAGCTGGTGCCCACAGCCACTCCTACTGTACTTTGTACCCTGCGTGGGAGCCAGCCAGCAGCTGCTGGCACTGGTATTTTGCCTGTGTGACCCATGACGGGGGACAGGGTGAGTCCCAGCAGAGGCTGGCTGAGCCCACTGCTCCCTGATGGAAGTGGGGGCTCTGCTTCTGGTGACAGCAGGGGTATGAGCTTTCAGCCAGAGCCCCTGGGCATCAAGAAGGGAAATATCTGGTCTCAAGGCTGGCTGGACCTGCTAATGGTAGCCCCCCAATGTCCCCCTGCCTGCAGAAGCTGACTGGGCAGGTTGGGGATCCTGCTCTCGGGTTGGTACCTGCCTGTGTGTGCCCCAGCAGCCACTGGTCTGGGTGGGTCCTGAGGAAGACTCAGCGCCCCAGCCCTGGAGATGCACGTAGTGGTGGTATTTGGGAGCAAGGTGACAGTCTGGGTGCTGCCCTGTTAGAGGGAGAGACCAGGGCATGGCAGAGCCACTCTGGTCTGGCTGGCTGGGCCTGGGAGGACCTGGGCTAGCTCTGCTCCCTCTCTCCGCAGCCCAGACTGGAATGGGACACGGCTGTACTAGGCACACCATCGCCCCCACCGTTGGAGAGGATGTGGCTTTGGGAGGATGTGGTCAGCTGGCTGTCATGCCTGGCTCAGTAGTCACAGTGAAATAAGAGTCTGGTTTAATCCACAGGGTGATAGTGTTGTGTAGGGTGCCTGGCCTGTTGGGGAGGTTGAGATGAGGAGGAGGAGGAGCTCCACAGCAGGGCAAGCGATAGTAGACATGGGATTTCTCCAGGTGGATACAGGGAGACCTCGTTTGGGGCTAGGCACCAGGAATCTGGGGATCACAGCAAAGCATCCTGGCCCTCTCTCCTTCCCGGTGCTTTGAGGACTCGGTAGTGGCCCCACACTCATTCTGGGTCTCTGTGACTGTAGAAATGGGTTCCCCCCATAACTGATGCTCACCCACATCATCCCTCATAGTGCCAACAACCAACTGGTGCCTGCTCAGCTGCAGCTCCTCCAGCCCCGCTGGGGTCTCCCTGCTGTGCGAGCTGAGCTAGAGGGCTGCCAGGATGGTGCTGCATCAGCAAGGACCTGGGCTTAAGGAGCAGAACAGGAACTTCCAGGCTGTTGCACGTACCCCCAGCTGCACAGCAGAAGCCCCAGGCTGTGTGGGGCCTATGTGCAGTCCTTGCAGCTGGGGGGCCTGGGTGCAAAGTTCTGTCCAGCTGGCAAGACCTGTCCCTGGAGCTTGCACAGTGATCCTGTCCCAGGAGGAGTTCTGAACCCTGGGCTGGGGAGCAGGCTCTGCTCCCTGCCAGCTCCAGGCTTGCTTCAGCTTGTTGACTGAAGGGTCCCAGAGCAGCCTGCTGAACTGGTTGGGCTGCACCCAGTGCTTCTTCTTTCCCTGGCACCATGCCTTGCCTGGGAACACAACCAGCAGCCCCACTATGTCCCAGGACTCTGGACCACTTGCCAGGGTACCTGGACCCAGAATGCTTCAGTGCCCCATCCCCATGGGGGTGTGTGTTGGGAGGTCAGCGCCAACACCCTGTGTGTATCCCCCACAGGACACCTGACCTCTGCCGTGGGACAGTCTGATGCTATGGCAGACCCTCCTGCCTGCTGTGCTGCCTGTGCCTCCTGCCTGCTCTGCCCCTACAGCTGCCAGTGCATCACTGCCAAGAAGGAGAAGAGGAAGGGCCTGAGAACCACCAAGGTGATGCTGAGCTGGGATTAGCCAGCCCCTGTGTGGGAGGCTCAGAGCGGTGGCCGGGGTGTGGAAGAGCTCTGGCTGGGATGCTCAGCCCAGACACTGACCTGCTGACCTCTTGCCACTGCTCCTGCTTCCCAGGGCTGAGCCTGAGAGAGCTGGGGTGCTGCCTAGCACCCTCTCTGTCCAGGGACTGCCCTAGCCTGGAGCAGTGAGAAGGCGAGAGGGTGAGCTGTCTGTTCCCACTGGGTGACAAGAAGGGCGGAGCAGCACGAGTGTGCACCTGTGGCAGGGCTCACACGTGCCTGGAGCAGAGCAGAGCCCTAGGGCTGAGCGTGGCAGCAGGTCCTGGGGCACCTGGCCAGGCACGTGGGAGACACAGTTCGTGGGCTGGGTGTGGCCCCCACCAGGAGAGTGTCCCCGCCAATTTGTAACCTGGGAGTGGTGAGGCCCTGGGATTCTCTGAGGTCTCCGACTCCCATGGGAGTGGCTGTGCTGCTGCTTGTCCTGTCTTGCCTGGAATGTACAAACAAGTCTGGGCTGTTAGGTGTCCCTCTCAGCACCTGTGGCACCCCTCACTTCCCTGCACACGTGAGGCTAGGGGCTGGAGACCACGTAGCTGGATCTGGCTTCAGCCAGGCTGGCAGGAGCAGTCTGCAAGTTCACCACTACAAGGGCAGCTCTGAGGCACTGCACCCCTCCCTGCCCAGCCCACAGATCACCCCGCTAGATGGGAATCCCCATCCCTTCCCATATCCAAAGTCCCAGCCTGCTCTCAGGGAATGCTGCATGGGAAAGGAGGCAGTCTTGCTGCAGGAGCCATCCTCCTCAGCATGGCATAGGCAGCTTTTTAGCTTGTTGTAGGAGATGCTGGTCCATATTCCTGTAGCATGGGTCCAGCCAAAAGAGCTCTCCTGGGTAACTGTGGTCTCTGTCCATGGGGCAGCTCAATGCCTGGCTCCCTGGGCCAGTGCCTGCTGTGACCCCCTGTGCTCCCTACTGCTGGCTGGGTGCTCCCTGGGGGTCTCAGCAGCCTGACCAGGGCCAGGTGCCCTGCAGGTATGTGTATAGCTGTCACCTCTGGCTTTCAGTGCGACTGCAGCTGGTTCCTTTTCCTCTTCTGCGTCTTCCTCTTCACACTGGTGTGGCTCTACTTCGCTATCATCATCCTCAATGATTTCCACAACTTCAACGAGTGAGTAGGACCCCACATCCAGCCTTGTTCCCCGTGTCACCCCTGCCGCTCTGACCGTCCCCTTTCCTGGCAGGTTCATCTTCAAGCAGAGAAAGTTATGGCTCGACTGGTCCCTGGTCCTGCTCATAGCTACGGCTGTGCTGATCACCTACTCGTCTGTGCTGCTGGTGAGCCACCAGCGCTGGTGGGGGTGTGGATGTGTGCTGAGCACAGGCTGAATGCTGTGCCCTGTGTGGGGCCAGGAGGAGCCCACAGCATCTGGAACTGGGTCAGCCTGAGCACAGCCAGACTGAGCCCTGTGCCCTTAGAGGGCTGAGGTGTGGGGTACAGCCCAGCTCTGACAGCTCTTGTTCTCGCAGGTCCTTGCTTTGTGCTTGCAGCTCTGCGGCCAGCCCTTGAAGCTACACTGGCTGCACAAGGTGAGAGACTGGGGGAGCAGGGAGATGCACCTACCCTGACTGCCCTTGCACCTTCAGAAGCTGTGACCAGCCTGCTGAGGCTGTGGTATGGCTGCTGTGACTCTACTGAGTGGCTGTATGTCCCCGCTGAGCTGGGCTGCAGCTGTTAGTTCCTCAGCCACATGTCTCTGGGATGGGAATATTCCCACTACTCAAAGGATGGAGTACAGAGCTGAGTTGCAAACCCAGATGGGGGAAATGGGGTCTCAGGACTTGGGGTTCATGAAGAAGGGATGAGGAGGGCTCTGCCTGCCCTGCAGGATGCTTGTGCTCTCCTAACTGCCCTGTGCACTGCCCCACAGATCCTGCTGATCCTCACTGCCCTGGTGGTGGCTGCAGCCTTCACAGGGCTGGGAATAAAGTGGGCGGAGGAGTGGAGAAGTGCACGAATCTCCCTGCAGGTGAGTCACCTCGATACCAGAGACTCCCCCACTGTACCAAGTGCCTGGCCTTAGGGGACGAGCTGAAAGGTGGTTACTGAACACCCCAGCGTGGCTCTGTGCCATGGGGGTTAACTTTCTGCCCTTGAGTTCTACTGCCGGGCCAGGCAAGGTGCTCCTCCTGCTCTTGCAGTCCTGCCTGGAGCAGCTGCCACCAGGATGATGAATGGTGGCTGGACCAGAGCAGGGGGTCTGTGCGGTCCATCCAGGAGTCTGTCCTTCCATCCCTGGCACTTCCAGCAGTACTGGCAGATCCCTGGCCTTGGAGCATGTGTATTTTGGGGACAGGGGCTGGTCTGGTCTTGGCTGACACTCTGCCTTTGTCTCCCCAGGCAACGGGTCCCTTCCTGCACATCGGAGTCGTGGGGGGAATGACGCTCCTTGCCTGGCCCCTGGCCAGCTTTGTGTACCGCACCCGCAACACAGGTAACCCCCCTCCAGGGTCTGCACACACCCCCTCAGCTGGTGCCCTGCTTCCTAACACCCAACTGAGCAACACTGTTGGCAGAGTGGCGCTCACGGAGCTTTGGTGCAGTGGGATCAGGCCTCCAGTTCTCAGTCTGGTAGTAAGAGCTGCTGTTGGTTGCTTCTTCTCATGCCCGGCCCTTGGTGCAGCTTCAGCCCTCACTGCTTGGCAGCTGGAGGAGGGCTACGGGTGGCAGACCCAGAAGTGCTGGGTTGGGATACAAGGACATGTAGTGGGCCAAGAATAAACCTGCAGTGGTCCTGAGGCTGGGGATACGGTGCTGGACCTAGGGCAACCACAGGTTAATGCAGGTGAAGCAGCCTTGGATTATTCCTAACGGCCTGCAAAATGCTTCCTCTGTACCTCACCCCTCTCTCTGTCTTCTGTCTCTGCCTGCAGGTCTCAAGGTGTTTCTACTGCTTGTGTACTGCATAGTGATGATTGCACTGTATCTGGCTCCTCTGGGAATCACCTCCCCTTGTCTCATGGAGGAGAACCAGCTGCCCCCCAAGCCAGCCCTGGTTGGCCATCGAGGAGCACCCATGGTGAGTGACCAGCACCACCAGCACCCTGGCAGTGGTCAGGGTGGATGGGACAGGCTGCTCCAGTGAAAGCCTGGCCGTGGGGCACCAGATCCTTGCTGCCACAGGCCTGGATGAGCTCTGGCCAGCCCAGCAGAGCAGGGTCCCCACAGCAGCCAGGGCAGCTCAGGCTTGGAGGATGGGTGAGCTTAGGGTGAGGAGGGGGGTTGCTTCCTGAACACTACTGGACCACAAGTTACGACTCACAGCAGAAAGCCTGACTGTGTAGTGTGGGCTGGGAATCAGAGATGAGGCAGGCTCTGGCTGTCTGTCCCCACTCCTTTTCCATCCCCCACTGTGCCAGGATTACCCCAGTCTCATTGTGGTTGCCCTAGAGCCCAGCCAAGTTGCTGGGTGCAGCCAGGCAGGGTGAGTGCCTGCCTCCTGCCCCGTCCTGCCCATGCCCTCTGCATTAACACCATTCCTCTTTCCAGCTGGCCCCTGAGAACACCCTCATGTCACTGCACAAGGCAGTGGACTGTGATGTGCAAGTCTTTGAGACAGACGTCATGGTGAGGTAAAGGGGCTCAGAGGGAGGAAGGGGTCTGTGTATCCTGGGATGGATATGCCCACATGGGGCATTCTGGAACACACCTGGAGGACTGATACAGCCTGCATTTGGAGGGAGCCCTGTTCAAAGGGCTCTGCTGCTCCCACCCCCCCAGTATGGGACTGGCTCCAACTTGGTGTCCCAATGATCTGGGAGAGGTACTGGGTTTCTGTCCTCCTGATGCAGACAGATTGCCTTCCAGGGAGGGAGGTTCCATCACGGGAGGGGTACTGCTTGGAAAACAGAGCCTGGCTCTAGTTCATCTCATGTAATCCTGCTATGGAGACAGCTGTTGCAGAGAGCAGGGAACTACTTGGTTCCTGGCTTGGTCTCTAGGTGCTCTGTACCTTCTGGACACTCACATTTTTGTGTAAAGCACAAGAAGAATAATGCTGGGGGCTACCCTAGCAGGTGGCTGGGAGGGGGCAGAAATGCCAGGGCAGGGATAGGAGACAAACAGCTTACAATAAAAAAACAGCTTCCCTCTTTGCTCCTTTGCCAGTGCTGATGGGGTCCCATTCCTCATGCATGACGAGGAACTCTCCAGGACCACCAATGTGCAGGCTGTGTTCCCTGAGAGGGCTGCCCTGAATAGCACTGCCTTCAACTGGACGGACCTCCAGCAGTTGGATGCTGGCAGCTGGTTTCTGGAGGTCAGGATGCCCTAAGGGTGGCTGGTCAGGGATGGGTGCATTTGTGGGCGAAGCATTAGCCCTGCCCTGAGGCTCCAGAACCTTCCCTCTGGAGCGCTGGTCCTGGCAGAAACCTGGACAGGGTGCAGAAGCCTGCACAAATCCCTTGGGTGCGGTTATGCCCCAAGCTGGGGTTTGTTCTGACTCCTGAACTGAGTCACAGAGGAGGCTGGTTTGAGGGGAGATGTCTTGTGTTTGCTCTGAGCTGCACAGCCTGCCTGGGCTTGAAGGTAGCTGTGGCAAGGCTCTTCCCAAAAGGTGACTAACTACTGCTGAGCTTCTTTGAATGCCCACAGGTGCTGGGGCTGTTTGAACTGTCCTATTAGAGGGGAGAAGGGTAGAGGTACCACATGAGTGTGTATAGAAAGGATCCCTGTGCCTGTCTGCACTGTGGAGAGGCCATTGTAGGAAACTGAGAGCCATAGATGGGCACCAGTCTGGGAGGTGGAAGCTTAAAAGGGCCCTGCCTATGCTGACTAACCCTCTCTCACCCTTGCAGCGGAGGCCGTTTCCCACCGTGCAGAGTCTTTCTGCTGGTGATCGCCACCAGGCAACTCAACAGAGGATCCCCTCCCTGGGACAGGCCCTCGAGGCAGCCAAGCAGAGCAATATCTCCATCATGTTCGACCTCCGGCCTGAGAACCACAGTGACTACCAGAGCTTTGTCAATGCCACCCTGGCAGTGATCTTACAGTCCGGCATCCCGCTACAGCAGGTGAGCTGGTCACCGCCCCACTGCTGCCAGGCCCTGCTGTCACACTCCTGCCATGGTGGGAGGTGCCCTGCCAGCCTCACTGAGCATCCCTGACACCCCATGCACCACATCCCCATAGGTGATCCCTGCTGGGCAACCCTGTCCAGGTGTGGGGTTCTCTAGCTGGGAGAAGTTGCCAGTAATTAGGGTTTAATGCCTATAGCTTCAGACCCCTCCAAATACTTTTGTTTCTCAGCACTGGCCACCTTGGTGTGTAAACAATGACTCAGTCTAGGGAGGGGAACAACACTGCCAGCATGAGCAGGAGTACAATGCTGAGGCTTCCACCTCCCCCCAGTGCACCACACCTCTCCCTGCAGCTCTTGGACTTCTGCTGCAACCTCCTGTGTTCCCTTTATGTTTCATCCAACCTCTGCAGCACAGAATATATGCTGCCCTTAGGGGATGAATTAGCACTCAGATTGCCTCCCTTCCTTGGCTTTTTGGGTATGTAGAGCAGGAGGGGACATAGCAAAGACTTCTACTATAGTGCTGATCCAAGGTGCATTCTTGATGCAGAGTTGAGGCCAAAAGAGATGCACTGTTTGATCCCTTCAAGGACTCAGAAAGGACATAACTGCTGCAGCTTTCTTAGGCTGGAACTGCTTTCTCACCTCAGTGGGGTCTGTTGTGCTTACTTCTTGGCTGGGGCAAGCTTATAGGAGGCTATCCTGGCTGAGATCCTCATGGAGGAGCTGAGCATGGAGTTGGGGTCAGGGAGCAGCTGTCCAAGCAGGCCATGTGTGCCTGACCCTGCAAAGAAATATTGGAAGAGAGCAAACTCCCTGGAGCACCTCTCCTCTGCATGTGCCCTCTGGCTCTTGCCTAGGTCCTCTGGCTTCCAGACGGGTTCAGGGAACAGGTCAAACAGCAAGCCCCAGGTGTTCAGCAAGTCTATGGCCGGAAGAGACTCCAGAATGAGAAGGAGCCACTACTGCATGTCAACCTGCCCTACCAGGACATGAGCTCTGAGGAGATCAGGTGAGAACCCTTTGCCCAAGTGCCTGGGAGCTGTGGGTGTCTGGGCACTGTCCCAGCTCTGTCGCAAGGGCCAGCAGAGGTGAGGGCCAGCTGAGGCTGAGTGCTGATGTGCTGCTGGGAAGGGCTGGGTGAGTGCTTTGTGGACAAGCGTGCCTTATCAAGGCTGGGCTGGTGCAGGAGATGGAGCTGGCTGCAGTCCTCTGCCTTGCCAGCAAATCTGCCCTGGGTCTGGATCTCCAGACAGTCACTCCCTGAGGCTGAAAATGCTGGATCATATCCCAGATGTGCAGTCCTCTCTGGCTGTACGTGGAGTGTGATGGCACCCTGCTGTCTGCTCCTCTGACCACGGCTGTCCCCATGCAGGCAGTACCGCCGGGACAACATCTCTGTCAACTTGTATGTGGTGAACCAGCCCTGGCTCTTCTCGGTGCTCTGGTGCTCTGGGGTGAGCTCTGTCACCACCAATGCCTGCCAGGTGCTGAAGGAAATGAAACACCCCATCTGGCTGCTTGTAAGTAACCCCCCCATCCTTCACCCTGCCCCACAGCCTGTGTCCCAGGCACTTGTGGATCCCTTTCTGCAGCAGCCCTGTGCAGCCAGCTTCCTGGAGGGTGACTTCTGCTCAGTGCTGTACTGGCATGGGAGCAGGTGACACTGTAGAAGGGACTGGTGGCACAGCAGGCTGGCTGTGCCACCAGTACACCGCCCCTAGCTGGTGGTCAGTGGGTTGTCTTGTTGCCTTGCAGCCCAGCAGCACGTATCTCATGATCTGGATCGTTGTAGACTGCGTTTCCTTCCTTACCATCCTCTGGGCCTTCCTCTTGCTGAAGTAGGTTTGGTCTCTTTCCCCCTCCCGAGGCAGGTCTGTTGGGGGACGTCACAGTGTGCCCTGGGTGGTTGGTACATATCCAAACCTGGTCGTATCTGCTGCCACCCCTCTCTGGACTCAGATTCTGGGGTGGTCCCCTCTTGTCTGGCTAAAACAGCACAGTGTGTGGAGGCAGCTTTTATCCACAGGCTGCAGCTAAAAATCTGCTCTGGCTCTGTGTCAAGCTGCTGAATGCCTTAGTTCACACTTCCTAACTCACTCTGTAGCCCAGGGTTTGGTGGGCTGGGGCTGGGGGACCCTGGTCCTTTTTACCAGTGCTGCATACACTGAGAGCAGATCCCTCGAGGAACTGTGGGGCCCCACAGCCTCCAGCTGGCAGCTTAGGGGAGGGAAGCGGGAGGCCAGACTTGCATGCTAACATCAATCCTATTCCATCTCCTAGGAAATGCTCCCACAGAAGGCGGCCAGCGGGTGAGTGTGCACGGGATGAGAGCTCCCCTCCCTCGGAGCCAGGCTGCTTTCTCCAGCCAAACGTGACAGAGTGGTTTGGGATGGCTGGGGGAGGGAAGGGAATCCCAGCCCAGGGAGTTCCTGCCTTGCCCTTAACAAACAGCCCTGTGGGACAACACTGGGGAATCCCACATTCCCCAGGTCTCCTCAAACCTGCTTTTCAGGCCACTCTGCCTGTTGCTAGGGGATGCTGGCTGCCC